AAAATAAGCAGAAATATATCATTAAGCTATATTCAAAACATGAATGATATATCTTTATTGTTTTTCATTTACTTTGTGAACCTGAATTGCTTTCTTCTTTTAAAAAATTATTCAGTTTATTAAAACCGGAAATGATATATTTAAATTTTTTGCTTCCAAACATGATTATAAGTACAATAACTTTAATTTATTTTTATCCAAGTGAATGTGAAGTTTGAATTTATGACACAATCCTTAAAAAAATATCTTTGGAAAAAATACATTGGAATACATGTAGTTAATTAAATTTTCTTAATTAATTAGAAATATCGATTTTTCGCCGTATTGAAATATTTAAAAAATTGAATGGATTTTCCTCAATGAACGAGAGGGTCTAGGTCCTAAAAATACCATCAAAACGGAAAAATAAAAACTTGTCGGAACTAAACACTTCAGAATCGTCAATGAATCTATTTAAGTAACAGTATCTACACTGAAAAATTGACGTGGAAGTTATTATTAGCGAAGAGGAAATTCGTGTGCTCTCTAAATTCTGCAAATGGGAAAAGACGGAAAAAAATACGTAGGTTTTCACAATATCACTATATAAATATGCACAGATATTCTAGTGGTTCATTATAACACAAAAAATCGACATATTCAGCATATCATAGAAAACAAAATGGCATCAGGAAACTATAGGATTCCTCCATATTATCCTTTTGATACTCCAATTCCTTTACAACCCATCTACACAGTGACCGCTGGTAATGATATTGGACGACTGGAAAATCAGATCGCCATGGTGCAGGAACCTACTAGAGTTAGGAAGAAACGTTCTCCCTGTTGGACAGCATTGACTACTCTTTCAGTGCTGGTGAATGTGGTTCTTGCTGCTGGTATCGTTTGGTGCTTATTGTCACATTTTGGCAATAAAGAAAAGGTTTTAAATTCAAATGCAGACATATCAGAAGACAATTCGCCCAGTACTCCAGTTTCACTAAAGATCAAATCCCAAGGAAACCCATGCAAGATCCTTACATGTTCTGCCGTGTGTATGCCTTGTCAGGCGCTCCATTCAAAGTTGCTTTGGAGAGAAGTTTTGGTCAAAATTCGTGCTGGAAAGACCGATCTTTGTTGCAAAAAACTAGAAGATTCAATGAAAAGACTGATTAAAGAGGTAGGTTCAATATATATTATACAGGAAGTTTTAATGTGTGTTAAATTATATAATCTATTATGATGATGCATGTAGTGATGTTAAAATTATGTTGCTATTTTCAGATAAGAGATGTTCAGAAAATGAGTGAAGATAATCATGGAGGGGATCAATATAAAAGAACACGCCAATCTGCGTTTTACAATGTACACAAAAATCATATTGGAGGTAAGCAATTTAGAAAAAAAATATTTTGGTAATGATGAGATAAAACAGTGACTGCAATAATATTTGATTTCATGCATGTTCATTCATTTTTTTTTTCTTTTCTAGCTGACTTAGGACGAGTGCCTTTGAAAGACCCTGGCGTGAGCCCATATATAACAACAATAACAGTCAACGAAACCGGTGCATACAAAATATTTACTGGAATAACAATGTCTGCTAATTTGACGACTTGTATTCCTTCGAAGGGATACTTTATTCGAGTAGTGGCAGAGCATTCCAATCGGGGCACAATGCATTTGTTAAGGAAAGACTGGAAATGTCCAGTTGGACATAATACTGACTATATAAATCCAGTGGAGGTACAAGAAGCATTCTACTTGTCCAATGGCACTATTTTGTACGTGGAAGTTTTCAACAGACTCCAGATATACCGATATCAAAATAGTGACTATGTTGGACTTGTAAAGCTTTGATTACATGGTTGTGATTCGTTGTAGGGCATTACATGGATTCTACGGGTTGTTATTTAAACTATTTGTTATTTATTTATTGACACTATTTTCATTTTTCATATAAAAACATTCAAATACAAATCAATAAAATATTTTCTTCAAGATCTTCGTTATTTTCTTTTAAATAATTTTGATAAATTATTTCATATCTTAAAAGCGTTGTTCCTGTATCATTTTAAGCTTTTAAGATGAATGAAAATTGTGTACAGTTCATAAATGTGATAATTTTTTTTATACTCTATGGTCTATAATGTCTTCACAAGTAAATGAAACTAGTTCAATTTGAAATGAAATCTGTGTGAAATATCAACTAAAATATCACCGCCAATGAACATCTAAAACTTCATTTTCTAAAAATCAATTATAGTTTTTGGTGTATATGCTTGTCTCTTCCTGAAATATTAATTGAGTTGAATTCCGTTTTGACCTGCCATTGCGCTGATTAGATTTCAAATATGATGAAATGAAGTTGTGATTGGTTAATTCATTTTTTTAATCGGCTTGTTTTGATTTATCGAACACTTGGCAAATAACTTGAGAATTATATAATTTGATACAACACTGAGTTATTTGTGATGAGGTCTATATTTTGAATTATTTTTCTTAAGTCTATACTAGTATCCATATCTATAGATGAATATAAACTGGTCACCGAAAAAATTTCCTTCTTAATATTATGGCCTGACTTTTTGAAAATTCATTAAAATTCTACTACAGTGAACCCTCAGATATCCGGATGCTTCAGTATCCGGACGATTTTTCATCGGAACAAAATTCTTAAATGTTTTTTTGTCTTGTTTAACTGGTGATTCAGATATCCGGATGCTTCACATATCCGGACAAATTGACTGGGAACCAAAGCGTCCGGATAAATGAGGGTATTTTGAGGGTATTTTGAAAAGGTATGACAAGAATTTTTTATGGCTAATTCATAGAATTAAAATACCTCTAAATAAGAATTTACTAGTTCAAATATAATAGTATTATTTTTCAAATGAATTTGTATTTCTCTTGTGAATATCCTATGACATTGAACAGTACATCCCCCTCCCCCATTTAATACAGATAATTTACAATATCTTCAAATGTTTTCAAAATAGACTTTAAAGACTTTTTTCTATGAAATATAAAATTCTTCCCTATTGCCTTATACAGTAATATAGCTGATTTTCGTGGGAAGGGAAACTTTTTCCATTGTGTTTTTAGGAATTTTGTCTAAAAACAACATCATATTTTACATACTGAACTCAGAATTAATTTAATATAAATATTATACCTCTCAATCTCTCTTCCACTTTTAATCTTGTTTATTGATACATAAAGTGGACTTGTTCAAAGTATCTTTTGCATCAGAATTCTTAAGAGGGCCGACTGGGGTTTTATTGTGTGAAAACTACAACTTTTTTATACCATATATAACTTACATTAACTTCGGTGCACATGCAAAATTTGGGGTAAATGTATCGCCCAGGTACTTTTAAGGGACCGTCTCAAAATACAGGTACATTTAACATAGGATTATATAGGAAAGTGCCAAATTTTAGCACTTTAAAGCAAAATATACAAATACTATAATAGACGTTTTTTTAAAATTATAACATATGATTAGTATTACTATATTGTACAATATGTGAAAGAAACACAAAATTCTTGTTATACCAGAGGAGGCATCTCAAAATACCAAAAATAGCGAATTTTCCTGTTTTTATAGATTACTACAAAAAGAAAATATAATAAAAGAATAATGGAGAGATTCTCACTTCTTTTTTAATTTCAAGAGCGTATTTTTATTACATTTTCTCTGATAACATTTTTATTAAGCCTCTCTTTTAGAGCTTCAGTTTATCAGAACGTCAAACACAACTGAACGACGTCAACCTACATATCAGTTGCAAAATCGGTTAAAATTTCAGTTATAAAATTGTAATTACATATTTAAACCTGCTTTTTCTTAATTTTGTTTAATGTTATTAATTCAGTGAAAAAAAAAGATGCTTAGAAACGGTAAATACACTTCACTTTACTACAATGCGCGAAATATAGCGCAATGAAAACCACAGTGGGTCCCTTAAGGGGATTTGCAGATTTATTTTACGATTTACCTCAGGTGTGTTTAAAGTTCTACATACGTAGCACACGCGACAGTTTATTTGGACTGGTAAACAAATTTATAAAGCAACTTTGGCTAATATAAGGATGATGATTTTTGCTCTTTTCAATTGTCAGAGTTCCTTTTTCTATGTAGGAATATGCCTCTATCCCCTGTATTTGGTGATTAACCCGAAATTTAATTCATTCAAAATGCAAAATTATATTTTAGATTATGATTAAAGTATTTTGAAAAAAGGCAGGGTTACTGACATATAGATTGACATTACAGATTAGTTAGCATTTGTATGGTCTACACAAAGCCTTTTTCCAATAAGGACTCCACAGTGTATTGCATAAAGATTTCAACTTGAATTACCTATAATTAATTGCTAACAGATTACCCTGTTTACTCGATAATAACCAAAGGCTCAAGGCAGGTGTGTTCAAACCAGAGAGGGTTTTCTATTTCTCATGGCACCTGATCTCAGCACTGATGAATACTGTGCTCGCAATTAATTTCGAGAATATTAAGGAAAAAGAGCATGATTACTTTAGATACTAATAAATTCTTATTATTTTATCTCATTTGTTAAACTCACTGTTATTCTTACAGAATATAATTCTAACTAGGAAGATAAATAATTAATAACTGGAAACTTTGAATATATCACGGTTTGAAAATTTGAAAATCCAGAAGGATGTCAATAAAAATTTTAAATGTATCAAATCAGGGCAATTATTGGAAGTATGCAAAAAACGTATTTCTGTTGTCATCATGAACACATATAAGTAAGGAACTGTGAAAAATTATGTTATTTTAAGTATATGGTGTTATCCTCACCCTCCCCCCCCCAAAAAAAAATAAATAAAAAGACAGAAATTGTCAATTAAGCCCTTCTATAGGTGACATTATAACTTACTTGATCTTAAGGTTATCCGATCCTCAGGTTCTGAAAATCAGGCATCGAGTAATTGAAAACGCTCACAAAGATGTCTCTAAATTCTTAAATTAAAATGTATTTACCAACGGCGTTTCTTTTAACTTCATCATTAAATTTAATCATATTATATAGGGAAAATTAGTAAATCTCAAATAATATTTCAGGAAATTTGAATTTCCTACTGCATATTTTTTAATTGATAATTGATCAAGAAATAGATTTTAGGAATAAAAATCATAGGTATCCAGGCTTTTAAAGAAAATTGGATGAATATTACACTTATTTGGTACTTTACTTTCTCCTACTTACTTCCATCGTGTCATAATGCATAGTGTATGAATGTTTTCTTTCAAAGAAAACACCGTAAATCACTTGTAATTTCAAATCATGCTTATAAACATTGTTAACTAAGGCTAAATTAAAAGAAATTTGATTATTTTAAAATATGCAAGTTTTACTTAGTTTTATGAGGTACAAATGTCAACTTTTTAAATACCGTTTGTTAAAACTTTAAAGAACATTGAGTCATACGTAGAGGCATAAAATGAAAATTGTTGCATGAAAAAAATTCAATTTCAAGCTTTATTTTAAGACTTTTTTAATTAAATTATAAATTATAGAGTTATCCTTCCTGGCTGAGGATCGTATATCCTTAAGTCCTTTATAATGATGGGGGGGGGGTTATTTTTTAAGGAAAAAAATTATATATTCGTAGTTTGAGAGCAATAATAAACAATAGAATTTATTATAATTGGAATGATTCTGTGTTATCATAACATTGTAAACATCATCTTATCAAAAATAGGTTAAGCATGAGTTGAAGTGTTAACACATCTATATCATAAAAAATAACTAGGCACTCACAAAGATTACAATGTACATGTAAATTACCCTTTTATGAGAACGCTTCTTAATTTTCTCGTATGTACAAGTGCTAAATATATAGCAAAATATAATTAGTGGAGTTTTACATATTTTTAAAAAAGGAAATATACAGTAACTGTCTATGAACATAATATATTATGCAATTCTACTTATCTACAATGCTATATTCAATCAATTTCAACAAATACATTTGAATGCATTTTGAAAAATCAACAGATTTAAAAACATATGTTTAATATACATTGTTTTTATTTGATTTTCCTACGAGATAAGCAGAAAGGTTACGATGAGGGTACTTCACATGACTGGTAACTATAGTCGATGATAGATACAATATACTACATATCATTGACATTGGTCGTAAATATCGGAAATAGGATAAATGAAGAGAACTTGCACGCACGGTAGGAAATGTGTGCCCATGCATTTCCCTGAAGTATGGTTAATCCTCACATTTATGTAGGAGAAATACGTCGTGTCGGTTAAAATATATTTCGTCAAGGTTAAAGGGGGTGATTATATAGTACTTGACGATTTCGTCTTCCTGTTCATCTCTCTCTCTCTTTCTCTCTCTCTCTCTACCGCCTCTCTCTTTCTTCTGTACCGTGCATAAATTGCTCTAAATATTGATACATAAGTTACATGTCTTACATGTACAAGAATTTTAGTGTTTTACCCATCTGAATAGTATTATTTGTTTTAAGAAAAGGGTTTTTTTTTTTAGTGATTTTCTAAAGAAAAAGACGAAATTTCAAAATATACACGTGCACATAAGAGATCAATAAATATAATACGATCGAGTATGTTCACTAATTGACTGCCTTGAGAAGACTTATGTCTAGTTTTTGTCTTAATGAAGACCACACATTCATTTAAACTAATTGCTTTTGTTTAATTTATACAAAATACTAACATATTTTCCTAATTGGAGAGTTTTTTTTGCCTTCATATTTGAAACCTCACATTTACATGTAGAGCCCAAACTTTTCAAATTTTCTTAGAACATGCAGATGTTTATATAATAATAATCATCACCAAGATATAGTCCTGAGACGATTTGGAAATGAACCTTTTGTATTTTTTTATTGATAGTTTTACAAGTACTTGATTTATTTGCTTGCTATTTTTGCTGATATATTCAGAA